ACCTTCGGGGAAAGCAAATTGATGTCAATCAAAATTTCAATCCAAAGTGCCCTTCTGCTGTTGGGAATCCCACACGTGGGCAGGAAATGTGTACAGGCTGGTTCTCTGGTGCCAGTGGGGACAGACTGATAGGGGGACGGTGGCACAGCCAGGAGGGGTAGGAGGTGGTGACTCTGCTGTAGAGTCAGCACAAGAAAGGAAGCCAGAGGTCTTCACAGCTGGTGGTGCAAGAGAAATAGTCAAAAAGCCCACTGCACAAGACTTATCCTGCCTTTGTGAAAATCATTCTAGATTTTTTTGCATTTTAGCACATCTGAAATTGTGTGTTTTTTTTTAATTTTATTTATTTATTTATTTATTTTCCCCCAGAGCCCCAGTAGATAGTCGTATGTCACAGTTGCACATCCTTCTAGTTGCTGTATGTGGGACGCGGCCTCAGCATGGCCGGAGAAGCGGCGTGTCGCTGCACGCCCAGGATCCAAACCCGGGCCGCCAGCAGGGGAGCGCGTGCACCCAACCGCTAAGCCACGGGGCCGGCCTAAAATTGTGTTGTCTTATATTCAAATCGAAGGTATCTTAAAGTTGATGAAATGAAGCAGAATTGAGAGGGCGAGGGTGCGCACGTGATTCTGGGGGGGCGGGGCTTACCCAAAGCCTTCCCTGTGCTTTTTTTTTTTTCGTGAGGAACATCAGCCCTGAGCTAACATCTGGAGCCAATCTTCCTCTTTTTTGCTGAGGAAGACTGGCCCTGGGCTAGCATCCGTGCCCATCTTCCCCTACTTTATATGGGACGCCGCCACAGCATGGCTTGACAAGCGGTGCATGGGTGCGCGCCCGGGATCCAAACCTGCGAACCCTGGGCCACCGAAATGCAGCGCGCGTTAACCGCTGCGCCACTGGTCTGGCCACCCCCCCTTTTCTTTTTTAATACAAGAAGCATCTATTACTTTACATATAGAACAATTTTAACACAGATGAACCCTGAGGACATTATGCTAAGTGAAATAAGCCAATCACAAAAAGACAAATATTGTATGATTCCACTTACATGAAGTATCTCAAGTAGTCAAATTCATAGAAACAGAAAGTGAAATCATGGTTTCCAGGGACTGGGTGGGAAGGGGAAATTTGGAATTGTTGTTTAGTGGATATAGATTTGCAACATGGAAAGTTCTGGAGACCTGTTTCACAACAATGTAAATATAGTTAATAACACTACTGAACTGTACACTTAAAAATGGTTAAGTGGTAAATCTTATGTATTTTTTTACCACAATAAAAAATTTTTTAAAGCTTAAAAACTGAAAAAAAAAACTATTTTAAGTATGTGTTTTACTCTGCCTTCGTCTTAACCATATTTAAGTCACTGTGAAAAACACAATTTTGCCTTTTTGTAATTCTGTTTGAGAAAGTTGGAAGTTTAATTAGCTTTCCAATCAACCAAACTTCTGCATTCGAGTACCTGTTTTAATTATTTTATTTGCATATGAACTATGGGTTTGCCACCAATGCTGGGATATTAAAGTTTCAGGACTTTTTCCCCCAGCTATAACCTAAAGAAAGAAGGGAAGGGGAGAGAAGGAGAGGTGGGGAGGAAGGAAGAGAGAAGGGAAGAAGGGAAGGGAAAAAGGGAAAGAAAAAAACTGCATGGAGGAAAAATCTGGAAGAGTATACCCTAGACTGTTAACAAGGAATAGGACTGGGCAATGCCCTTGCTTTCTATCTTATATCATTTGTATGGTTTAAGTTATTTTATAAGATAAAAAATGCCTGGGGGCCGGCCTAGTGGCGCAAGCGGTTAGGTGCACACACTCCGCTGCGGCGGCCCGGGGTTCGGCGGTTCGGATCCTGGGCGTGCACCGACGCACCACTTGTCAAGCCATGCTGTGGCGGCGTCCCATATAAAGTGGAGGAAGATGGGCACGGATGTGAGCCCAGGGCCAGTCTTCCTCAGCAAAAGAAGAGGAGGATTGGCAGATGTTAGCACAGGGCTGATCTTCCTCACACACACACGCACACAAAAAGATAAAAAATACCTAAAAGCATAAGCATATAAAATGAAACCAATTTTTTAAACATTTAAAAAATATTTTGGTTAAAGAAAGAATTCCAAGGCTTGAAAACAAGCCAGCACAGGGGATGCATCTGGGGCGGCCTCACTCTGAGGGTCACAGCTGGATCCACGTGTCAGCACACAGGGCCCGGTGCCAGGCTGCCCCATGTAAGCCTGGTTGGTGGGGGAGCATCACAGGAAATAGCTGGACCGGCTGCTTCGGGAAGCACACGTTGGGTTTGCAGCTGGTGGGAGATGCCCCCACCCCCAAGGGAGGGACCCTGAACCCCAAACGAGGAGGAAGTTTGGTCCTGGTCACAGAGGAGAGCCAGTGGAGGTTTCAGAGCAAAGAGGACCACGATGAGGTGGCTTCAGGAAGATAACTCTGGCAGTGAGGGGACCAGTCTCTGCTGGGTCTCATCTGAGAGAGTGAGAGTTTGTGCGGTTGAGGACTAGGCCCCAGGCCTCCTGCCCTCAGCGTCCTCCACCAAAGTCCCACCTCCTGATGCTAAACTGAACTTTCCCAGGGGCCACCCCCAGCAACCGACCCCCTCTTGACACCCTCCTACTGCACCTCCCCTCATGCCCACCAGTGGACAGACAGAAGAGCCATAGCATTCTGGGAGAAATTCTACCTAGAAACCTCTGTCTGACCCAGATTCCCAGAAGCCTTTGTGTGCGGCTGGAAGTCTGCCATATTCCCATATCCCCATTCCCCTGCAGGGCCTTGGGCTCCCCACACACGTAATGACTTTGCAAGGAGTAGTCCCTGTCTCTCCAACACGCCCCCCACCACCACCATTACTGTGTCTGGTCAGCCGGGCCCTGGGCCCTGCATCCTCCCAGCCTCCTGCCTGTCCTGCTGCTGTCCCAGCAAGGATGACCTCTCCAAGCAAGAAAGATGGAGGCTTTGCCCGCCTTGGGCTGGCACTCATGGCCTTTTGCCATCTGGCCCAAAGTGGTCTCACCTCCCACTGCTCCCTCCTTCTGCAGCCTCGCTGCCTACTGAGTAAGGCTGCGGGTCCCACCACTAGGCTTTCGTTTGGGCCATTCTTCCCCCCGACATTCCCTCCCTCATCAATTGCACCTAATACAGCACATGCACAAGGCTACCTCTTGCATGAACGTATATGTGCAGCGAGAGACAAATGCATGGTGCCATTCTCGCCTCCCAGCACCGTAGCCCACCGTCCCCGTTGGCCCAGTGCCCAGGAGAGCTCTCTTTCCAGTCCAGCAGACGGCCTGCCCTTGTCTCACACAGCCACCCTTTGTCAGGCCTCCACTCCCACGGGCATCTTATCTGCCTAAACAAGTTGTAATCTCCCAGAGTCACAGACCCCTTCTTCCTGCCAACCTGGAGTAAACAAGCCCTTTTACCGAGAGGTTGGCGGCAGCACCGCAGAGTCCACGGCTCACAGCACCCCTCCCAGGGTTGCAGCCCTGCCCGACTGCCTCCTGCTGGGCCCTGCAGGAAATTTCAGCTCCCTGCCCTCGGTGCCCCCAGGCCCCAGAGCTAACCTCTGACCCCACGCCTGCCCTCTCCCCCTCCACCCGCCGCTCTGGCCTCCTCCCTCCAGTCCCCCCCACCTGCTTCCTAGGACAGGGGTGTCATTATTCGCCCTTCCCCCAGCTCTTCCCCCAAATCTCTGCAGGACTCTTCCTTGTCCTTCAGGCCTCAGGAAGAACGTCACCTCCTCAATACTTCCTCTCCAAGAGCCCTGTTATTGTCATCGTAGTCTGACTGGGTGGCTGACTGGGACAGAACCTGCCATGGGGCCCCTTCCACTCCCTAGAACTGAGCTGGAGAGCAGTGTCTGGTCCCGTCTCACCCAAGAGGGAACTGGGGCTCTGAGACATAAAGTGACTTGCCAGAGATCACAAAGGCAGGGGGAAGCGGACTGGAAAAGCCAGGTGGGCTTGGCTCCAGAACCCCACACCCCGCCCAGCCCCTAGAGCTGCCAGGTCTCCACCCAAGCTGCAAAATGCACGACCCACTGGCTGGCTGAAAAATCTGGCCGTCCTGCTTGTGTGTGAGCTCCCTGCCTGGAGAGTGCGGGCACTGTCCGGAGGAGGCTCACAGCCCCGGGCAGAGAGAGCCAAGCTCGATCAGGACACACAGGAAACAGAGCAGGAGTTTAGGTGCATTTATTCCTGTACAAATCATTACAAAACCAAGTATGGGGTACTTGCCAGCCCCCGACCCCTCCATCCCAATGTGCAATGGCTCGCTGCTGGCCTCCTCCTCCTCCACCTGACCCCTCCCACTCCACAGCCTCCTCCAGGAAGCCCTCCAGCCTTCCCTTCCAGACTCTGAAAGAGCAGGGAGCAAACCCACCCCACTGAGGCCAAGCAATAAAGTGCCTGGTGTAGAGTGAGGGGACAGAACCCAGGCAAGACACCTCCCAGCCCCCTAGAGCCTTCCCAGTCCCAGCTGGGGGGACACCCTTGGACGACTCCAGCAGCTGCAGTCAAAGGGGCTGCATGCAACCCCAGTTTGGCTGGGATCCCCCTTTCTCAGCCCCACAGGCTCCTCCAACAGGTGGAAAGCCTGTCAGATGGCAGAAAAGGGGGCCTGGCTCTTTAAGAGCCAAGCTAATGGCAGCTTGGGTGGAGGGGCTGAGAGAACAGCTGAAGGTTTGTCCCTTTCCTACCAGCATCCCCCAAACCCTGGGGGAGTTTGCACAAAAATACTGTTTACTTTCCAGGAGAAGGTAGGGAAAGGAACCCCGGAGCCCCAGGGAGCTGAGCCCCCCAGCAAGCGGTGGTGGTTGGAGGGGTCCAGCCTTAGGGCGGACAGACCCAAGCCGTGGGTGGGGGAGGTGGCAGGGGGTCGCAGACTCCACGTTAGAATCTGACACAGGCAGAAGTGTGCCCAGAGAGCGTGCAAGGAGTTTGTCTAAGGCCAGTAAGGGCAGAGCCAAGACCCAGCCGCAGCCTCCCGCCTCCGGGATCCCCCACAACCCCACAAATGCCCCAGGCCGGCCTCCAGGCAGCTCCCACCCCCACGCAACCTCTCTTTCTGGCTCTGGGAAGCGAGGGGGCAACGCACAGCTTCCCCCAGCTCCTTGGGACAGGACCCCAGTGTCCCAGCCAATAGGAAGTGATTTGAGGTCCATCGGGGCTCTGAACCAAGGCCTCATGGGAAAGGACATGGCCTTAGCCTCAGATTACTCAGAAATACCCTGATTGACTGCTCAGACCCTGAATGGACAAGAAATACCCCTGACACCCCTGATTAACCACACAGAAGCCCAAATCCCTGATTGGCCAAGAAATACCCCCAGGCCCTGATTGGCTGGAGGATACACCCTCTTCAAGGTCCTGATTGGCCAGACGACACACTGGCCAGCCCTGATTGGCCAGGAGATACTGCGGCCAGCCTTGATTGGCCAGGAGCTGGCCATCAGCCAAGCGGCTGGGCGGAGAAACCCTCCTCCCGTGCCCCCTGTGAGGGACCCCTCCCCCCAGCAGGCGGCCTAGGTCCAGGACGGGTGGGAGAAGGTGATTCCGTACAGCTGGGCCCACGACGAGAAGACCCTCTTCTCGGTGATGAAGCGGTGGTGGTTGCCCTTGCGGCTGTGCTCATTCTGGATGTAGGTGACGCACTCGTCCGGGCCCTTGGGCTCGTAGTAGTGGTAGGGCATGTGCTGCAGGCGGGGCCGCTGGCTGGGCAGAGCGGAGGGGGCCGTAAGGGCAGGGTGGGCACCCAGGGGGCCCTTGCCCTTTCCAGCTCCTGACCTGCTGTAGGACCTCAGTGGGGGAAATCCCTGCCCTGGTCCTCAGTTTCCCCATCTGGAAAATGGGTGTAGGGTGGACTAGGTTTACTAGTCAAATTTTTTCTTTTTAAATGCAGTGGAACCTTTTCTTTTCCCAAGAGGGTCGCAGTGTAGGGTAGTGGTAACGGCTCTGGAGCCTGGCCTCTTACTATCTGTGGGACATTAGGCCACTCACAAAACATCCTCCTCAGTGTTTCTCATTTATGAAATGGGGAGAATAACGTACCTATCCCTTAGGGTCACTGTGAGGAGTAAACGAGATAAGGAACGTAGCTATGCTTGGTACACGGTCAGCACTGTCACCTAGTGGCCTTTTCATATAGTGATAATCATCACAGCTGTGATTTTTTTTGTGTGAGGAAGATCAGCCCTGAGCTAACATCCACGCCAATCCTCCTCTTTTTGCTGAGGAAGGCCGGCCCTGAGCTAACATCTATTGCCAATCCTCCTCCTTTTCCTTCTAGTTGCTGTATGTGGGACGCGGCCTCAGCACCGTGGACAAGCGGTGCGTCAGTGCGCGCCCGGGATCCAAACCGGGCCGCCAGTAGTGGAGCGCGCGCACGTAACTGCTACGGCCACGGGGCCGGCCCCAACAGCTGTGATTCATTACAAACTGGACTCCGGCTGAGCTTGGGGTTGAGGCCCCTGAGGTAGCTCAAGGAGCCTAGATCTCTGCAGTTTGAATCCCATAAAACAGAGGCCCTTGAAGGCCCCTCAGCCAAGGTTTCCAGGCCCCCAGCTCCATCCTGCGGCCAGCAACGGGGCGTTGTCCCGGGGGGGCTCACCTGCAGTAGTCGGGGGGGACCATGCCATAGACGTGCACGTGGTCACACAACTCCACCGCAATCACTATGGTGAACCAGCCTGTGCTCAACCACGAATGGGACTTTTCCCTGGGAGCAGAGAGGGGGCATGATGAGGGGACATGCAAGGATGAATCGTCAACCCACTCAGAGTTTCCCAGAACTCCTCCCACCCACCCCCTGGGGCCCTCCCCGACTTCAATACCCTGAGTCCAACCTGGCTGTGGGAGCACGGGCATGCCAGCAGAAGGCTTGTCTGGGCAGAGCTGAAGGGTGTGGAGAGAGCTCCTTTGAGGGAAAGAGTAGGAACAGGGCATGCTGGGAATAAACTGGGGAGACTGGTCACACTTGGGCAGGCTGGGAGTGACCATGACCACAGAGCATGCTAGGAACAGCTGTGCTCATGCTAGGAGCAAACTCCTAAGGAGAGACTAATCAGAGAAGGTCCTGCTGGGAGTGACCACAAGTTCAGAGCAAGGCATGGAAGAAGCAGCCAAGAATCTAGAGCTGTGCTGCCTACTACAGCAGCCACATGTGGACATGTGGGGTTGAGATGTGCTGTCAGTGTAAAATACAGACTCGATTTCTTAGTATGAGAAAAAGAATGTAGAATATGTCACTGATAATTTTTGATACTGATTACATGTTGACCTGAAAATATTTGGGATATATTTGATTGAAGGTGGTTCTTTGAAAAGTTTAAAAGAAAATAAACCTCTCACAAGATTGACAAGAAAAGAGAAAAGACACAGATTACCAATACCAAGAATAAAAGGGCCAGCCCACTGGCATAGTGGTTAAATTCACATACTCTGCTTCGGCAGCCCGGGGTTCGCCAGTTTGGATCCTGGGCGCGGACCTACTCACTGCTCATCAAGCCATGCTGAGGCAGTGTCCCACATAGAGTAATTAGAAGGATGTACAACCATGACATACAACTATCTACTGGGGCTTTGGGGAGAAAAAAGGAGGAAGATTGGCAACAGATGTTAGCTCAGGGCCAATCTTCCTCAAAAAAAAAAAAAAAGAATGGAATAAAAGAGAAGATACCATCACAGACCCTGTAGACATTAAAAGAATAATAAGGAAACCGCAAAAAACTACATACATGAATTTGACAACTTAAAAGAATAGGACAATTCCTTGAAAACCACAAACTAACAAAACGTAACCAAGACGATAATAGATAACCTCTAACTATTAAAGAAACTGAAAGCAACCTATAACTGTTAAAGAAATCATAGTTTAAAACCTTCTGAAGGGGCCAGTCCCGTGGCATAGCAGTTAAGTGTGCACGCTCCACTGCTGGCGGCCTGGGTTCGGATCCTGGGCGCGCACCAGTGCCCCGCTTGTCAGGCCATGCTGTGGAGGCGTCCCATATAAAGTAGAGGAAGATGGGCATGGATGTTAGCACAGGGCCAGTCTTCCTCAGCAAAAAGAGGAGGATTGGCATGGATGTTAGCTCAGGGCTGATCTTCCTCACACACACACAAAAAAACCTTCTGAAAAAGAACTCTCCAGGTCCACAAAGTTTCACTGGCAAATTCTACCAAACATTTAGAGAAGAAATAACACCAATTCTATACAATCTCGTCCAGAAAACAGAAGAACCATTTCCCAATTCATTTTCTTTTTTTTTAATTTTTTTTAATTTATTTTTTTGTGTGTGAGGAAGATCAGCCCTGAGCTAACATCCATGCCAATCCTCCTCTTTTTGCTGAGGAAGACCGGCCCTGAGCTAACATCTATCGCCAATCCTCCTCCTTTTTTTCCCTTTTTTTCCCCAAAGCCCCAGTAGATAGTTCTATGTCATAGTTCCACATCCTTCTTAGTTGCCGTATGTGGGACACCACCTCAGCACGGCCAGACAAGCGGTGCATCGGTGCGAGCCCAGGATCCGAACCCAGGCCGCCAGCAGCAGAGCGCGCGCACTTAACCGCTAAGCCATGTGGCCGGCCCCTCCCAATTCATTTTCTGAGGCCAGCATTACCCTGATACCAAAACGAGGCAAAGACAGTACAAAATAAACTACAGACCACTATCTCTCATGAACACAGATACAAAAATCTCCAAAAAACATCAGCAAATCATACCCAGCAATATATAAAAAGAGTAATACACCACAACCAAGTGAATTCCAGAAACACAAGGCTGATTCAACATTCACAAATAAATCAGTATAATCTACCATATTAATAGTCTTAAGAAAAACCACATGATATCAATTGATACAAAAAAACATTTGATCAAATTCAATATCCAGTAATGATAAAAACTCTTAGCAAACTAGTAAAAGAAGGGAACTTCCTCAACCTGATAAAGGGCACCTACAAAAACCTACAGCTAACATCATATTCAATGATGAAAGACTGAATGCTTTCCCCCAAGACTGGGACCAAGGCAAGGATGTCTACTCTCACCACTTCCGATACAATTCAACGTTGTATTGAAAGTCCTAGCCAGTGCAATAAGGCAAGAAAAAGAAATAAGAGGCATACAGATTGGAAAGGAAGAAATAAAACTGTCCTTACTTGCATGTCCTTACAACATGATCATCTGCACAGAAAATCCCAAAGAATCTACAAAAATTTCCCAGAACCCATAAGTAAGTTTAGCAGGATTATAGGATATAAGGTCAACACACAAAAATCAATCATATTTCGGGCTGGCCTAGTGGTGTAGTGGTTAAGCGCGTGCGCTCCGCTTCAGCGGCCCGGGGTTCGCAGGTTCGGATCCCAGGCACGCACCAACATACCGCTTGTCAAGCCATGCTGTGGCGGTGTCCCATATAAAGTAGAGGAAGATGGGCACGGATGTTAGCCCAGGGCCAATCTTCCTCAGAAAAAAGAGGAGGATTGGCATCAGATGTTAGCTCAGGGCTGATCTTCCTCACACACACACAAAAAATCAATCATATTTTTATATACTAGCAATGAATAATTGGGAACCAAAAAAAAAATGTTAAATACCATTTACAGTAGCTCCAGAAATTTTTAAATATTTAGTTATAAATCAAACAAAATATGTACAGGATCTATATGTTGGACAAACTGGGTTAAATATATTAAAATTAATTTTACCTTGTTACTTTTTACTTTTTCAATGTGGCTACTATAAAAATTTAAGTTACGTATGTGGCTCACATTACATTTCTATTGGACAGCACTGGTCTAGCTTTTCTAGGGAGATTAGTCAAGAGAAGGGCATGCTGGGAATGATGTATCCTTAGAATGGAGCATGCTGGGAGCAACTGTGTGCTTAAAGCAAGACGTGCTGGGAATAGTATACACTTTCCATGAGGCATGCTATGGGGAGTTCTCCTAGAAAGACGTAGGAGTGATGATAGATCTTTCTAGCATCTCCTAGAAAGACGCTTAGAGCAGAGAATGCTCGGAGCCTTTGTTTGCCCAAAGCAATGCATGCTGGGAGGAAGCCCTCCTGGGGAGACGAGGCCATATGGAGCATGTTAGAGATGACTCATGCTAAGAGCTGGACATGAAGAGAAGTCCCCTAGGAAACCTGACCTGAGGGTGGCAAGAAGTGACCACACCCTCAGAGCAGAGCATGCTAGGAGCAACAGGCCCTCTGGGAGGAACATGCTGAAAGGAGTACAGGGCTGGCGAGAGGGGGCAGGCAGGAGGCTGGTACCTGTCCTTGCCCGTCTCACCCCGGAAGAGGTCGTCAAATTGGCGCATGCGGCTGGGAGAGACGGCATAGGCCTCCATGTTGGGGAACGCCAGGCCTGCCCGCTGAATGACGTGCACGAGGCTGCCCTGGGGCTTCTGCATCCTGTTCGGGGGGCCCCAGAAGATGAACACGGTTTCGGGGGTCCGGTTGACGAACTCCTGGGGCCTCCGCAGCACACGGAATACGCTGGAATGGGCCACCACGCGGAAGGTGGTCTTGTTGCCCACGTCAGCTGAGTAGCCCGTGGTGGGCGCATCGTTCATGCGGATTGTGCACTCGGCCTGCTCGATCTCGGGGCCCAGCTTGGTGCCCAGCAAGTGGCTAGAGCTGGTGACAATCACGCACTGGCGGCACCGGGAGGGCAGCGTCTGGGAGAGGGGCAAGAAAAGTCAACACCGTCATGACCACTTGGAGCCAGGCCCTGTGCTATACGTCCTGGCCTCCAGGAGGCAGGAATTATTATGCCCATTTTAACGACAGGGAAACTGAAGCCCATTCACTCAACAATCAACAAATATTTAAAGCAAGCTGGCTAGTGGCCCAGTCCTGGGGACAGAGCAATGAGCAAGAGACCCCGCTCGTGCCTTCAAGAAGCTCCTGGTGGGGGAGACAGACAGTGAACAAGTCAAAGACAAAATAATGCCAGGCAGTGAGTAAAACATGCCAGGAAGAAAATAAAATAGCGGCAGAGGATCAAGAGTGACAGGAGCAGGGGCTCCTCTAGAAGGGTCGTCGGGGGAGGCCTCTCCAAGCTGAGACCTGAGGATGAAAAGGAACTTCGGAGGGAAAGTACTCGAGGCAGGAGGCACAGCAAGACCAGAGGCTCCAAAGCGGGAACAACCCTGGGGTGCTGAGAAGCCAAAGGGGGCTGCTCCACTGGGGCAGAGTTAAGGAGCAGGAGAACAGGACGGTCATCCAGGATATCCCCAAGGTCACACAGCAGAGGAGTGCAGGGCTGGGACTTGAACCCAGGTCTGTAGGGCCACAGAGCCCCAGCCTCAGCCTAGCTCCCCAAAGAGGAGGGAGCCCAGCTCTCAAAGAGGACGTCCTCCCCAATGCACCTGTGACATTTCCACGTCACCCACAAACAAGACACCACCTTGTCAGTAAGGAAAAGGTGTGGAAGCTTCTCTGCGCCTCTTTCCCCATTGATGATATGAACCAGTTGGAACCACATGTTCTCTGGGGCCTATTTTCTGCTCATGGAATTCCCATTCACTCTTCAAGGCTAAGTTCAGGTGCCACCTCCCCCAGGCAGCCTTCCCTGAGCCATTACTCCAAGATCCAGCAACCTGTCCCATGTACCTCAACCGATGGCCTTTCCAGCTTTGTGGAAGTCTACTTTTCTGGCCTCCCCATCAGGCTGGAAAGAGCGACAAGCCAAGCTCTGCCTCATTCCCTTCTGCATCCCCCACACTCAAGCTGTTCCACTTTCTCCCCGGTTCTACAGGTTTTATTTCTTTTTCAAGGGTTCTTACGGTAGAGAAAGTCTCAGTTAGGTGTTGCTCTGTCTCTAAACACCTGCTAATGGGCCCTTTCCCAGTGAGGGGGTGTCCAGAGCCCCAGGCTCTGCACATTGTGTATGCAAAGAACTTCAGAGATTTAGAAGGGTTAGTGAGGGTGGGGAGGGAGGAAGGCAGGGCCTCAGGGAGACCTCCTCTTCCTGGAAGGTGGATTCCATGCTTGAGGCCAATAATTTTCTCCCTGGGTGAACCCCAGAAATACAATCTGAGTTTTCTGGCAAACCAAGGCAAACAAAAGCCCCTGGAATGACTTTTGGCCTCATTCTACACAGCTGCCACTCAGCAGGGGTAGGGGCAATACCCTGGCTCCTCCCCTCCCATGCTGTGTGGCCTTGGACAAGCGACTTCACCTCTCTGAGCCTCGGTTTCCCCATCTCTTCAAGGGAGATAACAATGCTGACCTCATGGGGTTGGTGTGAGGATTACCGCTGATCACAGGGCCTGCACACAGCAGGCACTTGACAAAGGGCAACCATTATTATTACTGTTTTTGTGTTGTCAAGTACCCCAGTGTCCTGCTCCCAAACTCGCTGTGGACCCTCCAGCAGAGAGAGAGGTCAGTGAAAACCAGGGACACGTTTCCAAAGGGATTCTGACTCAGGAGAAGGTAGGATATTAGCACTAAGGGTGGGACCCTGGAGAGAACTGAGGCCCAGAGAGGAGCAGGGCGCTTGTCCAGGGTCACACAGCAAACGAGGGGCTGACGGCACTGGACTCCGGAGTCCACCCTTTCCTTTAGGAGGGATGGAGGGATGGAGAGAAGAGGGGGAGGAGGAAGGGGAAGAGGGAGCAGTGATGGGAGCAATGGGGAGACCAGTCACCGGGCGGCTCCCAGGAGCTCAAGGTAGCCGCCCTACCTTGTTGCCGAGAAGGGGGACGTAGCCTTCGGTCATACTCCACTTCTTGAAGTTGACGGGCCGGCGGGCGCGGCCCCGCAGGGAGCCGTAATGGAAGACCTCACTGGCACTGTTGGAGCTGTAGAGGATGAGGATGGTGATGAGGGCAAAGAGGATCACGAACACCGCTGACCGCTGCTCCTGGAGAGGGGAGAGGCCAGTGAGGGCCCAGCCACCTGCAGGGCCCCGCTAACTCTTGCTCTTCATTCCACCAGTTCAGGCACTGCCTCCTCCAGGAAGGCCTCCTCCAGCCCCCTGAGCACCCCCTCTCACAGCACCAATCACACTGCATTCAAACCACCATCCCCCCACAATTAGACCATGAGCTCTGAGGGCAGGGACTGAGTCAGCCTTGCTCCCCACCGTATCCCAGCTCCCAGCACATTCTCTTCTCTGGCTCCAGCCAGAAGGATGCTTGGACACACATGGGACATTCAAACAAGAGGGTCCAGGTCTTCCCCAAACTGTAACTCTCCATGAATGTTTATCATCCGGTTAAACCTGGAGGGGATGGATCTGGTCTGGAATCAGCATGCATGGGTGGTGGGAGCACCAACATGCGGCTGGCCAGGCAGGAAAGTGATATCCAAAGTGTCCACTGGGATTTATTTGCTCAGGGTCTGCAAGGCTAGGCGAGACCTGGGGGTCCTGGTTCCTTGTGCTGAGCCAGGTTAGTGAGGTTAGTGAGGTATTGCTTCTCAACTCCAAGTTCGCCCTTTTTGCCTGGTCTGTGAAAATGGATCTGGGCTCTTAACACATTTTTCCTTGCCGTCTAACTGCCTATTAAGCTTCGTCAGTAGAGGGCGGTGGAGACACATTGCAGGAGGAAAGGAGTTTGCTTCCTGGTTCTGGTGCACATGGCTTCCCCAGCACATGCTCCCTCTCCAGTTCCCAGCAGCCAGCATCAGCCTTCAGGCAGTTCTGGAGCAGAGCGCCTCTGGCCCCTGCAGTGATCACAGCTTCTCCAGAGCTCAGCTCATGCAGTACACTCAACCACCTGCAATACCCAGATACCATAAGCCTCCCCTCCCTGGAGCAGTTCTGTATGGAGCTTGGAGTGCCTCCCAGGAGTTACCTGCCATGAACAGCCCTCCCTGTAGCCTAGAGGGTGGATTTATGACAGCTTCCACCAGCACAGCACCACCGTGAGTTCCTGCCATCCAGTGGGCCACAGCTGTGCCCTCTCCAGCAAGGCCTGGATCTCAGCCCTGGGGTGCTGGCTGCTCCTTATCCCTGCTCTTCCTGGATTCCTCAGAGTTCCAATTCCTCGTTACTCCAATGCCCAGTTAGAGTTAATAATTCTTTACATTAAACTCTCCCTGTTCAAATTACTATGTGGTTTCTCTTTCCCAATTGGACCCAGACTGATACACCCACATCACCCCATCCCCAACCCTCAGGATCTGCCAAGACTGTGGTGCGGTGGATCCCAGGAAGGGGGTGTGCAGGCCCCGGCACACAGCAGGTGCTCAGGAAAGCATGAATGAATGGATGATGGGGAGTCCTGACACCCTCAGAGTGATGCTCACCACATTCAGTCATCTTTGACTCTGACCCTCCCCCATCCCCCACCTCCCCTCCACCTTCCCACCTCCACCCCCTGCACAGCACTCCACAGTCACCTTCTTGGGCAATCCTCTACCACAGATGGACCAGTCAAGCCTAGGAGGACAGAGCTGGACCTGTGCCCAGAGAGAGGCAGGAGCCTGCCCAAAGCCACACAGATCAGTGGCCACAGCAGGGCTCAAACCAGGGCCTCCCAGGCATCAGCTGCATCTTGGCGGGGAAGAGACTCGTGGGGCCTGGAGCTGAGGCAGGTCCAAAGGAGCCCACTTCACAGAGGGAAGTGAGAGGGAAGTAAGGACAAGAAACGAAGGGGGACTTACTCTGCTGCTACTCATCTCTCTCCGGCGTCTGCTGAGGGGCAGGGGCCAGTATCCTCCAGGTAGCCCAGGGGGCAGGGATGTCGGGTCACACCTGCAAGCCACAGAAAGGGTTATGGCCTGGGCGCCCTCCCCTAGGTCCAGCTGGTCAAAGGCTTCACCCTCCCACCCCCACCAGCTCTCCTACCCACCCATGACTGCAGGGCTCAGGGCCGTATCCATTTTGCAGATGGAGACACTGAGGCCCAGAAAGGGCAGGAACCTGCCTAAGATCACAAAGCCAGGTGGTGGCAGAGCCCTGCCTCCCTCCCTGCCCCTTGCTCTCTCCTACTCTGCTCCCTGAGCAGAGGCCTCCCTACACCCTGGCTCTCCCAGGCAGCTGGCAGGACTAAAGCTGGCTCCCCTGCTGGGGGACCTTCCCCCCACCCAGCAGGAGCCCATTCACACCGCTATCCTAAACCCTGCCGTGGGTCCCTGTGGCCTCGGAATAAAGCAACATTCTTTGTGTGTCCCCAAACTCCTCTGCACTCGCACCCTTCCAGGTCTTGCACAAACTATTTCCTGTCTGGAACACCCAGTCCTCCTGCACCCTGCTCATGCCCACTCATGCTCCAAGCCTGGGGTGGGCCATCAATTTCCCCTGCGTGTCACCTCCTCGCCAGGCTGAGAGCTCTCTGAGGACGCACAGGTCCTCACTCACATTCTCTGCTGTGCCTCGAGCGTGGAGACGGGTGCAGGAGGGTCGCTGAATGACTTCATTAATTATTAACGAGTAAGATCTTGGGGGTTAAGGGCACAGACTCATCTGTCAAGTGGCCACAACCACAGCCTCACCCTCAGAGGGCGGATGGGGGCCTCAGGGGATGGTGCAGCCTTGGCCAGCCCTTCCTTCCTGCCCCAGTCTCAGCGGCCTCGGCTGTGAGGTGACAAACTCAGCTCTGACCCGCACTCCCCAACCGACCCCCATTCTCGCAGGACCCAGCTCCTCTCCAGACCTCAATTTCCCCACCTGTCAAAATAAGTACGTGTGTCCAGCCCCCTCCGGCAGATTCAAGGACGGAGGGCACTAAGGGAGGGAGAGTGTGCAGAGAGAAACTGGGGCCTCGACGCTCCCAGCTCCGTCCTCCCCTCCTGGGGCCTCCCAGCTCCCGCCACTATCTCCGCCCCCTGACCTAGCTGCTGTTTACTCCTACACCGCCACCAGGAATAGCCAGAGAATCTCAGGCCAAAGGAGGCTCCGCCCACACGCCGCTCCTGATTGGTTAGGTCCTGGCTCCGCCCACTGACAAACCCCGCCCCCTCTGCGCGGGAGCCCCCCTCCCTCCTCCCGAGCCCAGTTTCAGGTTTCTCCCCCTCCAGACCCACAGCCAGTCAGGGGGCCCCGCGACTCTCACCGGGTCCAGTCCCCGCGGTACAGATCAGGAAACTGAGGCTCATCAGAAGGGAAGAGTGGCTTGTCCTTGAACTCACAGCCCGTCAGGGCAAAAGACAGGAGTCCAGAATTCCGGAGTCGCCCCCATCAGCCCTGATACCTCGGGCATTCCAGGCCCTTCCGGATCCAGCCGCCTCTCTGAGCTGAGCCTCCCCCCTCACTACCCTTTCTTCCGATGCCCCATGCTCCAGACACACTAGAGCACGCCAGTCCCCAGGACCACCCCCCACTTTCCCACCTTTGCCTGAGCAGTGCCCTCAGCCAGGACCACCGTCCCCCTGGTCAGCCCCGTCACAATCCTGCTCTGAGAAGGTCATGGTCAGTACAGCATCTCAGGTGCCAGTGCGCATCCCGAATCCAGCACTTACTGGCTGAGGGGCCTCGGGCAAGCCATGTGACCTCTCTGAGCCTCAGTTTCCTCATCTGTGAAACGGGAATGATAAGAGGAGGTAACTCACGGGGTTGTTGCCAGGATTCAAGCAGATGTGGCAAGGGAAGCACGGGGCTCGAAAGTGCTCGGTCGGTGCCCGCCGCTGTTAGTCTTGTGGTTATTCATTGTTCAAGGCCAGCCTCACCAAGAGTTTGCCAGGGAAACCTCTGACCCCCTAGGCCAGCGACTTCCCTCTAACATCAAGGATCGTGTGCAGGGAGCCGTGCTAAGCATCACCCACTCACTGAATCCTCCTGGCAACGCGGCACGGTAACGGCTCTTATTCACCATCTCACAGATAAGGAGACTGAGGTTCACAGAGGCAAAGTGCCTTGCAGGGCGGCCCAGAGCCTGCTGGGGAACCTTGTTTACAGGGAGAAGCCCAGGGCTGAGCCTGACGGGGTCTCCCTCGAGGATCCCCCTGGGCTGGAATGGGCACCTGGCTCGGCACCGCACCGGGGAGCAGGCCTGCTGGAGAGCGACTTGCTCAGGCTGGGGAGGCGGCCGCCCAGAGCGCTGGGCCGGGAGCCTGGACTCAGCCCCGAGGGGGGCCGTGCGGGCCGTGCAGGAGGGCTGAGTCTGTGGGCTAAGGGTGGGGGCCACACCCTGGCCTCTGTTTGGGGGCTTTGCCTCGCCCAGCCCGGGGAGTCCTCCCGCAGGGTCGGGAAGCCCCCACGATGCTCCTGGGAGGAGGACTCCGGGGAGAAGGGGGAGGGGGACTCCTAATTCCGAGATGGGGGGCGCCCAGCCCGTGGGTCCACCCGGGGGGGCGACTCACCCTCTGCGCCCCCCTTGCGCTGACCCCCCAAACTCCCGCCCTCTGAGGGATCCGAAGCCCTAGCCCCAGCTGGGAAGAGAAGGGAGGCAGGGTCCCCAAGCTCTAATGGGGTAGTGAGCGGCAGGAGGCCCCGCGAACCCCCGACAGCCCCTGGCCGCGGGGGCCGGGATTCCCGGGCGCGGTTGCCAAGAGCGAGTGGGTCTAGGGGAGCCCCCGCATCAATCTTCATCCCCAGCAGCTCCCGACCCTCCCCCCTCCCGCTGCCCGCCCCCGCGCGGCGCCCGC